GAGCAGTAGACGGACGCAGAGACATCCTGTGTGTGCCAGGGACAGGAGGAGGACGCGGACGCAAACCATGACCACTAGCGCGAGCAGTACGGACAGGCGACGCAGGGCGAGACGCAGGCTCACGACGCTCAGTAAGACCTCCAGTAGGACCAGCGTAGGGAGAAGGAGCAGGCAAAGGGGAGGTAGGCTGTAGCTGTGACTGTGACGGGACAGGCTGTGGATCCTCCAAGGGAGGCGGAGGACCAGTAGAAGGTGGAAGACCAAGAACATGCTGCACGAGTGGAACGAAGTACGGTCGAGGCCGGGTAGGGACGCCAGAAAAAGCAGGGACAGCACCAGTACCCCCAGCAGGACCACCCGCTCCAGCAGCACCTCTAGCAGCTCCAGAACCTCCAGCAACACTAGGAGCACCCCCAGGAGAACCGCCAGTGGTAGTCTCATTGCCAACACCCTCAGCAGCACCAGCTCTAGTCGAACCTGCAGGCCCAGAAACTCCAGGACTCCCAGTACGAGCATCTCCGGGACCGGCAACAGCAGCACCCTCAGTAGCCGAAGAACCTCAAGCACCAGCAGCACGGCTCCAGCGCCAGGCAAACCACTCGCGCAGCTCCTGTGGAGAGAGTGGCTCGCGGCGAGACAAAGCACGCTGAGAACCTCCAGGCGGAGTACCTCCACGCTCAGCACCCCCAGGCCCAGCACCCCCAGGCAAAGCACCCCCACGCGTAGCACCCCCAGGCTCAGCAACCACAGGCTCAGCACCCACTGGCTCAGCACCCCCAGGCTCAGCACCACCAGGCGTAGCACCCCCAGACTCAGCACCCCCAGGCTTAGCACCCCCAGGCCCAGCACCCCCAGGCTCAGCACCCCCAGGCTCAGCACCTCCAGTCTCAGCACCCCCAGGCTCAGCACCCTCAGCAGCACCAGAGTTACCAGCGACCTCGACAGACTCGACTGCGTCTACCTGGGACACACCTGAAGGGGCAGGACCCTGAGGGGGGAGGGGGTCTACCTGGGGGGGACCTTGTACAAGGAAGAGCGGGGGCGGGGGGAGGGACAGAGTGCGGTAGGGGAAGAGGCGGTAGTAGGGGACCGACTCGTCAAACATGACGTCCAGGGAGGATAGAACACGGCGAGAGGTGGGGTGGTAGAACTGCCACCAAGGCGCGTCAAGGGGGAACCCCAGGAAGACGCAAGGAGCAGCACGAGGGGACAGCTTGTCCGCAGACAAGTCGCGGACACACGCCCGAGATCCCCAGACCCGGAACGCCGACTTATCGCCAACCTTCGCCGTCCACAGCAAGGCTGGGGAGGTCTTCGGCCTGGAGACCCTGGGGTGAAGGTTGATCTGATGCACCGCGTACCTGACCGCAAACGGCCACAGAAAATGGGGGGCAGCCGCATGCATCATAGACGTACGGGCGACATCCATGACCATGCCAATGCGGCGCTCAGCAATCCCATTTTGCTGCGAAGATTCCGGAAGCGTGAAGGTCTGACGGATGCCTCGTGCTCGACAGTAGGCTCGCAGAAGGCCAGAGGAGAACTCTCCGCCTCTGTCCGAGTGCAGACGCAGAACAGGGAAGTCCGAGCCAAAGCTTTGCCTGAGCTGGAGACGAGCTGCGCGGATCCAGTCGATCAGCACCTCAGTGACATCACCCTTGCTGCGCAAGGGGAAGACTACGGTGTAACGCGAGTAGTCATCAACAACAAGCAGGAAGTAGCGCTTGTGACCCTGCCCACGGACGCGGGTTGGGTCCCACACATCCATGTGAAGCGTCTGCAACGGAGCCTTTGGCGGAGGAAAATGGGAGGAGTGAGGGGCAGCACGCTGGCGCCCCTCGACACAGGGGACACGGGTAGGGCCAGGGACCTGAGGAAGGGGGGGAAAGGACCGGGGGAGACCAGACACTAGAAGGTGGGAGGCCATGCCTCTGAGCCGAAGCAGAGAGGGGTGACCAAGACGGTGGTGCCAGAGGAGAGTCTCGTGAGACAGGAGACGACACGAACAGGGGGCAGACTCAGGACTAGACCTGGACGCTGCAGCAAACACCTGACCCGACGAAGCGACTCTACCAGACTTAGTAACGGGAGGAGACGCAGTGGTCAGTGTGTACAGGCTCGACCCCGGCTGACGAGTAAACGTGGCCAGGTGTCGGCCTGTGCTAGCCTCTGTACAGTGCGTCACCCACTGACGCGCAGGAGTGAACTGGTGTACACCCGCATCCTGTAGGTCAGCACCACTCACCAGGTTTGTAGAGAACGAGGGGAGGTAGAGACCAGACAGGTTGCCAGAGGGGGCCGCCGGACACGGGAGGACTGTGGAGAAGCGAGACAGGACAGGACCCCCAGAGGGGTCAGCCAGAGACACCGCTACCGGCCGACTCAGCGGTGTGAGTGTGGTGCGGTCCCGAAAGAAGGAGCGAGACGCCCCAGAGTCAAGGGTGAAGGTGAGGGAGGCCGAAGCCGACGTAGTACCTTAGAGCGCAGACTCACCAGTACGTGAGGACGCAGACACACTAGCACCTAGAGCAGCAGCGTCGCAAGCACCTAGGGCAGCAGCCTCACCAGTACCTAGAGCAGCAATCTCAATGCCCAGATCGGGCGGGAAACACCGGTAATAGTCACCCTCATCACTAATAGACACAGCATACATGGCAGAGAGAATAGCATCAAAATCAAGATCATAGATGGCAACACCCGCCCTAGACAGCTCGCCCCAGCGAGGGATCTTTGAGGCCTCCGGGAACTGGTGATGCCACGCGTCCGTCAGGCGGCCAAAGAAGCGCTGGGTGGGGTGCGCACCCCCACACTGCTCACCCGCACGGTCGCCGGTGCGCAAAACGTAGGAGCACGGACCAAAACCTCCACCCCGCAGGCGCGCAGTGTACCACTCACGAAGCTGCTGAGGGGACAGGGTCTCACGACCGCGTTGCTGCTGCTGCTGGCGCGAGCCACCACCGGAGCCACTCCTCTGCGAAGACCCGCGACCAGCTCGGGCGGCGGCGGGCCGGTACAGGCTGCGCGCGGGCCGCGTCGGGCGGCGACGGGCCGGGTCAGGCGGCGCACGGGCCGCGTCGGGCGGCGGCGGGCCGGTACAGGCGGCGAGGGGCCGGGACGAACGGCGCGCGGGCCGCGTCGCACGGGACGGGCGGCGCACGTAGGGTGGCGGGCGGGCCACTAAGGGCGGCGACGGCCGAGTAAGGGCGGCGGGCGGGCCGCGTAGGGTGGCGACGGGCCGCTAGGGGCGGCGACGGCCGAGTAAGGGCGGCTCGAGGGAGGAGGCGACAGTAGAGAGAGGACCCGAGGCGTGACTTGGGCCTAAGCAGAACGCGCTTCGGGCAGGAAAAAAAAAATTCGATGATTGGCCCTAGGATCAGTTCCCACAAGGGAACCTGCTCGATTCCATGAGAAGAAACGAGAATGAATGAAATATGAATGAAGTGGGTACAAGTACTAACCCTAATTGGGTTGTACCCCCTATGGGATACCCCACATAGCCTACACAAAAGTATAAGCTATAATGTTCTGACAGGTTCAACTCTGATTTTAAGAACAAAAATTGGGGCGATAAAATGATAACTCTTTGCAATTGCAGGAGAGGGAAGCTTAGCACCAAATTTCGGCAGTGTGCATATGCTCTTCTCAAAGATCCTCTTGACAAAGTCGTCTCGAATGACGTCAACGCTCGACGGAACTACGCTACGAACTACCTTTGTGGTGAGTTACTGATGTGCTGATTTCACTATTTGTGACTACTCTAATTTTTTCTTTTTTGGTCGCTGCAGAGTTGTTTGGCCTGCCATGGCATGCTCTGGGTGAAAATCCCCTATCTAGCCCAGCCTTTATCACCGCCGCCAGTGCGTGGTACAAGGAACCCCCCGAAGATGTTGCGCTCACGATCGATCAAGTCTGCTATACCCTGTATGCGGTGAGTGGTTTGAACTGTTTATATATTAAATGCAAAGCTGCTCTTCTGTACTGATCAACTCTTAGTGTTGTCCGCCAGGTTGAGAACAGCATGATCACAAGCATGAGTAGTCTGCATTCGGAACAGTCATCAAGCAAGCGGGAAATGGACATCAGGAAGGCCCAGATTGAGCGGTGGATTGACAGGGCCAATATTCCTCTTATAGCTGGTCATTATGATTTCGGTGAAGTGTGTGTCCTCAATTGGCGTAGGTAAAACGTACTGCCTTTTTAATGATATTGTGATTTTTTAATCTAGCCGAATTTATTGCATATAGCGATTACAAATTAGCATTTGAGCAATTGTTTTACGTGCGTGCGTAAATTGGTGTACCAAGTTTTTAGTATAACGGATGTATCTATTCTATGCCAATTTGAGTATAACGGATGTGTCTATTCCAAATTTGATTCCATAGTGTCGTATATTTTGTGAGTCAACTTTTATCCGTTTTTAGACCCTAGTACAAATAATGAAATGTTACGAAATGACATGTGTAACAGCATTCCATCCAAACCCTGCTGACATGGCAACATTTCGCGTGACTCCCAGCAGTCTGCCCGTGGTTGGCGAAGCTCCAGCATTCTCGAACACTTCAAGCACACTGTGTTTCCATGCAATCGCTACCCAGTATTTCGCACCAACATCGAGAACCCAACTGTCAGGCACATTCGAACCTGACTTCCAGATATTGGCGGGAGAACTCAGGAAAAGGTGCGATGCGACAGGTGAGGAAGCAGGCAGAATAGGAGGTTCGAGGATCATGGGTTGTGAGTATTTTCGACCTTTGCCGGAGAAAACGCAACATCGAAGCGGGTGATGCCTCATTGCTGCAGAAAAATAAAGGCCGCCGCTTCACAATCCCAGACGGCACGGCGCGGAGCGATCCGTAATACGGGTAACGGAAAGCACAGGCATTTGGAGAAAGACGAGCTCTCCGGGAGAAGGCACAGGCATTTGGAGAAAAAACGAGCACTCAGGAAACCCGGCTAGAATGGACAGAGGGGGGCCGGCAGAGAACTTTCGATCGTTCATTCTACGTTTGGTTTGTCCGCGCAAGTAGACTGGCTCCCTTCATTGTACCATCGGCGAATGATGGAATGAGCTTGCGATGGCGCTGCACCTCGCGCGGCACTTCGTTGAGCAGGGCGGTACTCGCCGCGTTCTCTGCTGTGACGACGCCTGCCGCCTCGGCGCTCGTTGCTGGTAGGGGCAGGAAAAGAGGAGTGAGAGGAGTGAGGACAGAGAGAATGTTAGCAGCGGAGGCCTGGGCAGTTTGACATGATGGGATGCGTGGGGGAGAAATGAGACGAGTTGGATGGCTTGGTCGATGCAGAGAGGAAGGATTCAGGAGTCAGGCGGAGAGGTTCACTTTCCTGAAAGCAAGTGCTAAGTAAGTACCGTGCAATAGAAGCAAGCAAGTGCCAAGACGGGTATTTTTATGTAACACGGCCCGGGGGTGAGGGCGCGATGCATAAGCGCGGCGCCAGAGATTAAGTTCGGCGATGGCACAAGATTATATGAGACGCCCTACCTTGAGCGAAAGACAGCGCCAGGATTGCAGCGAGGAAGATTGCGAGGGCGACAGAGAGAATGGCGCGAGCCATGGCGTTGTAAGGTGACGGGTTAGCTGGGAGAGATTGAGATCTGTGATTGAAAATATGAATTGAGACCGATGGTTAGAGCATGTTTAGCGGCAGAAATTTGTAGACGGATAAGTCCATTTGCATGGACCAAGTAAAACGAGAGTGCGACATCGAAGGGCGTCAGTTTCTTCCCAGCCGTGAAATGCGCGAGAGTACGGTACTGGCAAAACGACTCTGGTTGGGCTGCTGAATGTGAATTATGCAATCCCGGCTGATAATTCAAGTGCAATGATGCAATTTGCAAGCTGCCCGGTGTTAGAACCTGTGACGCGTTGACTCTGCGTTGGGCTGCTGAAGAATCAGTTTCCGAGCTGCCCAGTGTGAAGAATTCTGACGCGTTGAAAGTGGAGATGGAGGATCGAGGGCTCAAAATCGATGCTCGCAGATAGAGAATGTTCAGATATGCGACCCGCTCGAATTTTCATTTTTCTTCCTTACCGCGTACCCAGGAGCTTCATTGGCTACCGCAGATGGCGGTGGAATTGTGAAGAACAAGCGAGTTGCCACTGTTACGGTAAGAGATTACTCATTACTCAGAAGAATGAACGGCAAAGTAAGTTCGGATACAGAAATGGGCACTTTTTATTTATCTACCTGTATTTATTCCACCATACTAGCGTGATGAAAGTGGGTGTAATCCCTGCAAACTATTTGAACCCAAACCTCCTAGAAACCTTTACGAAAATCAAAGATCAATTTGAGCATAGATTCCCAATAGCAACGAGCCACCCTTTTGGACAGATTCACCTTGATACGAACACCCAAAAGATAACACCACCAAAGCACACTTTTTAACAAGAAGCATACCCCATAGCAATATTCTTTCCCCCCAGGTCCACTAATAAGACACTTTTTGGCACTTGGTCTTGCTGACTTACTAGGCTTGCTTGCTCCTCCTGCCAGAGGATACTCGGTCTGCAAAAACAAGGACAAGGGAAGGAGAAAGGGCAGTTTCACAGAATGTGCACACAGGGTGAGATGGTTTATCATGCACTGGAAGGGACATCTGGCCTGTGGCGAGTAATCGTGGAAAGATTATGTGGACTGAAAAAACAAACGGAATAGGCATGTGAGAGTTGTAAGCCGGATGGAACGGCATGTGCGAGTGAGAGTTGAAGCCGCATCACGCAGGTCACTTATCAGTCGCCGCTGGCCTCACACACTGCTCCATCTATGCCAGGCGGCTCAAAAGTGTCTTACCCGTACTGGCTTGCCCCCGCACTGCGCAATCTGCGCCAGAAGGTCTTCCTTGCACTTGTCCATGCTCTTCTGCGTCCTCACGAGGGAGAGCGAGTAGCAGTCCTCCACTTTCCGCTTGAACACCAGACTGCATGGCGTGCCTATTCACGGAAAGGCACCACGAGAGGCAACAGGCAGGTGAGCGGAGCTGAATGCCCATGGTACTACCATAATATGCCTGAGCGAATATGCATGAAAAGGCTTAGATTTTCACAGAAACGCCCCTTGCCATCGTTGGATATACCAAGAACGAGAACGGGAGAGAGGGGCTCTGGTCATTCGTGCAAGCTCTGGAAGTCTGCGTGGTAATACTACGAATCAAATTGGTCCGTATCCTCATCTGCCGAGCGCATTCTAGCCAAGAGTTTGTTCACATCATTTGCGATCACTCTGGCGCCCTGGGCGCACGAGACGCAGGAGAGAGTCAGAACTACAGCGAGGAAGAGCACGAGGCCGACGGAGAGAACGGAGCGAGCCATGTCGATAGGGTATACACTGAAAGTTCCAGATATACGTGCCTGAATGGTGGTGGTTGTTCGAGTAGCGCGCTAGTGGTATGATTGGCTCTGTTGGAGGTGGCGTGTGGTTGAAGCAAGTGGTGGTGGGGTGGTTGTATGCCCCCAACCCACCGAATGTGTTGCTTCTACTTGACTTCACTGCAGGTTTCGTGAAGAGTCAAGTTATATATCCATGTTTAGGTTATCTAGGCTGTATGGGGGTTATCACTGTCAGAATGTTATCTTATGCTCTAGCCTGTAGTGGGGTGCTCTATAGCGAGTACAACCCTTCTAGGGTTTGCTATTTGTATCCCCATTCTTGCTAGTGCAACCCCTCTTCTCTTCTTCTAATTTTGTCATGCCATCAGAGCAGGTCGACCCTCTTGGATCGATCCTGTGGGTGGGTTACCACCTCCTCGCTTCCGCTGCAACTTTTTCTTCCCGCCGTGCGCCCCGAGGCGCGCGGCGGTTCTCTGCCCGCCGTGCGCCCCGAGGCGCGCGGCGGTTCTCTGCCCGCTGTGCGCCCCGAGGCGCGCGGCGGGCTTCTGCCTCGTCGTTCACCGCGTCGCCCTCTGGAGGCGCCGCGACGGGCGACGGGGACCCGTTGCGGCCCCGTCGCCCCACTTCGCGGCCCCGCCGCCTCACGTTGCGGCCCCGCTGCCTTACGTTGCGGCCCCGCCACCCTACGTTCGCGGCCCCGCCGCCCCACTTCGCGGCCCCGCCGCCCTTCTGTCGCGGCCCCGCCGCCTCACCTTCACGGCCCCGCCGCCCTACACCTGTGGCCCCGCCGCCCTCCTTGTGCCCCGGCGCGGCCCCCGAGGGAGCCTCGACAGGCGACGGGAGGATTTACCTGGGGGAGGGGGGCGAGCGCCGCCATCCCACCCTGCCTACCCGCCATCCCACCCTTTCTGTGTTAGGGTTTGGGGGTGGCACGCAGATGGTGGCGAGTATGGGGGTGGCACTTCCTCATTCCTCCCTTTGCTCCTCCTCCTCCTCCTTCGTCTCCCACTGCTGCAGCTGTTGCTGAGGGGGGTGGATGTGTGGGAGACTGGGGTTTAGGGTTTTAGGGGGGTGCATGGGAGTGGAGCTAGGGGTGTAGAAGCGGGTGTGTGTCGGGGGAGTGGGACTGTTTTGGGAAGTTGCACGGAGGTTGCCGTCGTGTCGCCAGCAGCACCTGTAGTCCGGGGGCTTCGCCCGGTAGCCCAGTCGTAGACTTCTACGCCAGCCGCCCGTGGGTCCGTTGCTCGTCTGCCGCTACTTTAGCCGCGGGGCCAGTTACTCCAGTATTCCGGGGGCTTCGCCCGGTAGCCGCTGTGCCAGTCTGCCTACTGTTGCCCGTGTGTCTGCAGCTTCAGCCGTCGCCTCCTATCTCCTCTCCCCTCACTCTCTCTCCTCCTCCTCACTTGCCCGTTGTGACTACCACTAGCTTTGCTCATAATTGTGAACTCTAAACTATTGCTTCTTGAACTTGTGCTCAGAATGTGTGGTGACATTGTGATCCACCCTGAGCTTGTACTGCTTTGCTTGCTCTGCTGATTACACCCCACTTTGGCTATGGGGGTGTGTCAGAATGTTATCTTATGCTCTAGCCTGTAGTGGGGTGCTCTATAGCGAGTACAACCCTTCTAGGGTTTGCTATTTGTATCCCCATTTTTGCTGGTGTAACCCCTCTTCTCTTCTTCTAATTTTGTCAATCACTAGGGGGTACAGAAACTTCCTCGACACTTGTACCCCAACCTTGACCTAATCTCACCATTCCCTTGACATGGTAACTGGAGCAGGAGGTCTCTAGGACCTAAGAATCGGGCCCACATAACTGTGTTACCACCTGGCTGCCTTGCCTACTGCCCGCGCGCGCCTCAGATGCAGTGCGCGTCACTTTTTTTTTCTGCGCGCGCCTTGGTTTGTGGCGCGTGCGTCACTGTTTTTTAGCGCGCGCCACTGCTGCAGAGCCGCGCGCCGGCCCGCGTCGCCCGCGCAGCCCGCGTAGAGCCCGCGCGCCCCTTACGCCGCCCGCGGGCAGCCTGCTTAGGCCCGTCGCCGCACGCAGCCTGCAGTCGCACGCGTTGCCCGTCACCACGTGCAGCCAGGAGCCGCGCGCAGCACGTAGCCACGCGCAGCAGAGAGCCGCGCGCAGCCCTCAGCCGCACGCAGCCAGCAGCCACGCGTGCCCTACTCGTGTACCTGCCTGTGAGGCTCACTGCTGCCGAGCCCGCTGCCTTGGAACTGTGCGGCCTGCTACTGTCTAGAGCGCCACCTTAGGAGCTCGAGTGCAGCAAGCTACTGCCCTGCACGTTGCCTGTAGTGCCTGCTGCCTACTGCCTATCTCTTAGCCTGCTGTCTACTCCCTGCTGCCTTGTGTCTACTGCCTGCCTGCTTTCTGCTGCCTTTGCCTGCTGCCGTTATGACGACGCGTAATGTTCTCGCGTTCGAACCTGACGGTCGCCCCATAGAGTTCGCTGTGTGGCTAGACGACCTGCAACTGTTCCTTCTGTCCGATGCCAAAGAGGGCGTTTCAGTGTTCGATTACGTGTCTGGCAATGCCGTTGCTCCTGTTGCCAATGCTCCTGCTCTCGAACACTCGCAGTGGCAGACTCGCGATGCTGCTACACGCCTAGCTATTAGGAACCATCTGCCGATCAGTGAGGGCGCGCATTTCAGCCAGCACAAAACTGCAAAGAAACTGTACGATGCTGTAGTTGCGCGCTACTCCTCCCCGGCCACTGCAGCCATAGGTCGACTCATGCTACCCTACCTGTTCCCCGACCTTTCCTCGTTCACCACTGCTGAGGACCTCATTTCCCACCTGCGCGCTACTGACACTCGCTTTCGTGCCGCCCTTTCGTGGGGGTGGAGGCGGTGGAGGTGGTGGTGGGGGCGGCGGAGGCACTGGGAGAGGTGGAGGGGGTAGCAGCGGCGGTGGGGAAGGAGGGAGCGGTGGTGGTAGTGGTGGTCAGGGCTAGCAGCAGCCTCAGCAGCAGCAGCAGCAGCGTCAGCGCCAGACCCCCACTTCCCAACAGCTTCTTGACAGGTATGCCGGGCGTGGGGCTTCTGGGGGTCCTGGTCGCTGCCCCTATATCTTCGCACAGGTCCCCGCACTGGTCGCCAGTGCACAGGCTATCACACTAAGCAGCGCTCTTTTGCTCGGCTTAGCGACGCCTGGCGCGCCAAGTTTCCTGATGCTCCTGAGTTCCCCAATCGGGCAGAGCTGCTTAGGCGTGATGTACCTATCTTTGATCTTGACTATGAGGCTATTCTTGCTGCTATGTATGCATTGTCTGTTAGTGCTGAGGGTGACTGCTACTTGTGTGTGCCGCCGGATCCTGGTATAGTCCCTCGTATAGCGCCTGCAGCACTAGGTGCTTGTGAGTCTGCTCCCTATGGTACTGCGCCTGCATAGGCCTTGCACACTTTTACACTTGACTCTGGTGCTTCCTGCTGTTTCTTTCGCGACAGTACCACAGTCACTCCCCTCCGTGCACCTGTTCCTGTCTCACTGGCTGACCCCTCTGGGGGCCCAGTGCTTGCACGGTCTTCCACCGTGCTTCCGTGTTCGGCAGTCCCGTCTGGTGAGCTGTTTGGTCTCCACCTTCCCTCGTTCTCTACGAACTTGGTGAGCAACGCTGTCATCCAGGATGCGGGTGTTGACACCTTCACCCCTGGCCGACACCGTGTGGCAATCTGCACGTGCTCCCAGACCAGCCGCCACCTGGCCACGTTCACACGTGCGCCAGGGTCCAGTCTGTACACCCTCACCACTGAGTCACGCTCCACCCCTTTGCCTCCCCAGCTGCACGCGTCTGCTCAAGTTGCTACCCAGTGTGAGTGTCGCCGGCTGTCTCACTTTCTGGTTTCTTGTCTTACCAGGTCTCTGCCTGCTCTCCCTCCCTCGCCTACGCTGCCCTGCATTCCTTGCGTCGAGGGGCGGTAGCGCGCCGCTCCTCACTCCTCCTCGTTCCCTCCCACAGAGGCTCCACTGCAGACTCTCCACATGGACGTGTGGGGCCCAGCCCGCGTCCGTGGACAGGGCCACGAGCGGTACTTCCTCCTGGTTGTCGACGACTACACGCGTTACACCACGGTCTTCCCTTTGCAGCGCAAGGGGGATGTCCTTGATGTTTTGATACCCTGGATCCGCGCTGCTCGTCTCTGCTCGAGCGGTTCCAGTCAGATTTTCCTGCCCTGCGTCTACTCTCTGACAGAGGTGGTGAGTTCTCCTCAGACCTCTTGGCAGCCTTCTGTACGGAGCACGGCATCCGCCAGACTTTCACGCTTCCGGCCTCTCCACAGCAGAATGGGGTTGCTGAGCGCCGCATTGGCTTGGTCATGGAGGTCGCTCGTACCTCCATGATCCATGTGGCTGCCCCCCCATTTTCTGTGGCCGTTTGCGGTCCGGTACGCCGCGCATCAGCTCAACCTTTGGCCCTGTGTCTCCTTGCCGGAGACCTCGCCCACACTGCTGTGGACGGGGAAGGTTGGCGACGCGTCGCAATCCGGGTCTAGGATGCTCGTGCCTTTGTCCGCGATACCACCGCGGACAAACTCTCCCCTCGCGCCATTCCTTGCGTCTTCCTTGGCCTTGTCCCTGACGCGCTCGGCTAGCAGTTTTACGACCCCGCCTTGTGCCGTGTCTTTTCGTCTCACGACGTCACCTTTGACAAGTCGGTACCCTTTTACCGCCTCTTCCCCTACCGCACTGCTCCCCCCCCCCTCCCGCCGCTCTTTCTCGCCCCAGGTCCTCCCCAGGTAGACCCCCTCCCCGCGCCAGGTCCTGCTCCTTCAGGTGTTTCTCAGGTAGACCCTCCTGTCCCTGCGCCTGTTGAGGTCACTGGTGACTCCGGTCCTGCTGGGAGTGGTGCTGTCCCTGGGGGTACGGAGCTTAAGGGTACGCAGCGTGGGGGTGCTCAGTCTGGGGGCGCTGAGCGTGAGGTGCCTGAGGGTGCGGAGCCTGGAGGTGCTGAGCCTGCGCGTGAGGAACCTGGAGGTCCTGAGCCTGGGGGTGCTGTGTCTGGGGGTGCTGCGTCTGGGGTGCTGCGTCCGGGGGTGCTGAGCCTGCGTGTGCGGAGCCTGGGGGTGCTGAGTCTGGGGGTGAGTCGCCTGAGGAGTCTGAGACTGCTGTTCCACGGTCTCTTTGGAGTAGCCGTCTTTGTCCGCGTGTGCCTCTCACCTCCCAGCAGCTGCACGACTGGTACGATCGCCGTCAGTGTCGCGCTTCTGCACCTCAGGGCTCTACTGCTGGGGGTTATCCTGCTGGCGACACTGGAGCTGGGAGTGGTGCTGGTCCTTTGCCTGCTAGAGGTGCTGGTGTCGCTGGTCCCGGAGGTACTCGTACTAGGGGTACTGGAGCTACTGGGGCTGGCAGTGGTGTGTCTGAGGGTACTGCTACTGGTGGCACTGCGGTTGGAGACCCTGGGACTGGGGGTGCTGCACCAGGAGGGGCTGGAGCTGCTGAGGGTGTTGGAGCTGCTGGAGGTATTGGAGCTGCTGAGGGTACTGGAGCTGCTGGAGGTACTGGAGCTGCTGAGGGTACTGGACCTGCTGGAGGTGCTGGAGCTGCTGAGGTTGCTGGAGCTGCTGGAGGTGCAGGAGCTGCTGAGGGTGCTGGAGCAACTGGTGCTGGTGGCACTGCACAGCCGCGCCTGTTCTTTGCTCCGCCGTCTCCAACGTCTCTGCCACCGCCTGGCTTCGTGCTTCGCCAGGTTCTTAGCCTCCCGTTGTCTACTGGTCTACCGTTACAGCCTGGCTCACCTCTCCCTACTCCTTCTCCTTACGCTGAGCAGACAGGGGGCCTTACTGAGCGTCGTGAGCCTGCGTCGCGTCCTGTCTCACCTGTCCGTTCTGGTCGTTCCAGTCGTCGTGTTCCTCGTCAGCGTCAGCCGGCTGTCCCCGGCCCTTCCCTTGTAGTCCGTCGTCCTTCCTCTCCTCCGCAGAGTGTTCCTCTGCCGTCTCCTCCTGCGTCTTCTCTGCATGTCGTTGCGGACCCTGAGCCCGACCAGTTTCGTACTAAGCACCCTACTGTCACGCGTTTGCTAGCCACTGTTGTCACTGACCCGTCGTTTGAGTCCACTGCTGCGTCTGCCCTAGTCGCTGAGCTAGTCGACTTTGCTGCTGCCTGTCGTCTAGACTACGCTGCTAGTCTTGTTGCCGAGTCCGAGTCTGTCTGTCCTCCGTCCGTCGGGGGTGAGTGTGCTCTTAGCACGGACGTCCTTGAGGACAGGCACGAGGACCTTGAGTGCCTTGCGGCTGCTGCGCCTCATCTCGTGGCCATGCTGCTTGCCCCTGAGGGAGACCCGGATGCACCAGACATCCCCACCCCGCGCTCTTACGCTGAGGCGATCGCAGGTGAGTACTCCTCTCAGTGGCAGACAACCATGGACGCAGAGATGGCATCCTGGAAGTCCACAGGCACGTACGTCGACGAGGTTCCCCCTCCTGGGGCGAACATCGTCAGTGGCATGTGGATCTTCAGGGTGAAGCGGCCGCCTGGTTCTCCGCCTGTCTTCAAGGCGCGTTACGTTGCACGAGGTTTTAGCCAGCGAGAGGGAGTAGACTTCTTCTAGACCTTCTCCCCCACCCCAAAGATGACCACTCTTCGGGTGCTGCTGCACGTTGCCGCTCAACGTGACTACGAGCTTCACTCTCTTGACTTCAGCACAGCCTCCTTACAGGGCAGTCTGCATGAAGAGATCTGGCTGCGCCGCTCACCTGGCTTCACTGGGTCGTTCCCTCCTGGTACCCAGTGGAGCCTCAGGCGGCCGGTCTAAGGTCTCAGCCAGGCGGCACGTGAGTGGCACAACACACTGAGGACGACACTTGCGGCTCTTGGGTTTGCTCCGTTGACTGCTGACCCGTCGCTGTTTTTACGCACCGACACTTCGCTGCCGCCGTTCTACATCCTCGTGTACGTTGATGACTTGGTCTTTGCCACTGCTGACACTGAGGCTCTCGCCCTGGTGAAGTCGGGGCTGCAGAAGAGACACACGTGCACAGACGTGGGTGAGCTGACAAGTTTTCTTGGCTTGCGGATCACCCGGGAAAGAGCACGCTGCACCATCACACTGACTCAGTCACACATGGTGCAGCAGGTCCTTCAGCACTTCGGCTTCACCTGGTCCTCGGCACAGCCCACTCCTCTGGCTACAGGTCACTTGCTCTCAGCTCCACCTTCGAACGAGTCCGTAGAGCTGAGTGGTCCTTACCCAGAGCTAGTGGGCTGCCTCATGTATTTGATGACCTGCACTCGTCCTAACCTTGCGTACCCTCTTGGCCTTCTGGCTCGCTACGTGGCTCCTGGTCGGCACCGAAAGGTGCACATGGTTACTGCTAAGAGGTTATTACTGCTACTTGTGCAGTACATCGGGCATGGGGCTCGTGCTTGGAGGACGGAGTGACGTTGTCCTCATTGGGCCCTCAGACGCTTCTTAGGTTGACGACCAGGCTATGCAGCGGTCGTCACAGGGTTACACCTTCAGCCTTGGCTCTGGTTCGGTTTCTTGGCGTTCTATACGCTCGTCTTTAGTTCTCAGCTCCAGTTGTGAGGCTTAGATCTACGCCACAGCCATGGCTGCACAGGAGTTACGCTGGCTCACCTATCTGCTGACCGACTTGGGAGAGAGGCCTCGTTTTCCTCCAGTGTTGTACGTCAACAACAAGGCCGCCATTGCCTTGTGTGAGGAGCACAGACTGGAGCACAGAACGAAGCACATCGCTTCGCGTTACTTCCTTGCTCGAGAGCTACAGCAGCGTGGTCTGCTTCGTCTTGCTTACGTGGCCACTCGGGCCAACACTGCTGATATATTCACCAAGGCACTTCCGCCTGGTGATCATCAGCGTTTCTGTACTATGTTAGGCCTTGTGCCCACGTTTCCTCACTTTATGTAGGCTTTGTTTGTACTGTGATCTATATATATACTTGCATGCTTACTCTGGTAGGTAGAGATCACTGTGCTGTTGTTGTTACATATATATCTCAGCATGTGAACTGGCCTTGTGGTCTTTTGCTTGTGCTCAGACTGCGTGGTGACGTTGTGATCCACCCTGAGCTGTGGTTTGTTTCTTCTCTTGACTGGTCTTGTGACCGTTGCTTGCTCTGGCTATCCCCCATTTCGCCTATGGGGGTGCGTCAAATTATATATGCATGTTTAGGTTATCTAGGCTGTATGGGGGTTATCACTAGGAGGTACAGAAACTTCCTCGACACTTGTACCCCAACCTTGACCTAATCTAACCATTCCTTTGACTTAGTCTTAAAATGAATTTGCATATTGACTTTGAGAGACTTGCATTTCGGTGGCACATGGCAGCACAAGAAGAATCGAGACTCAGGGAGAATTCGATTCGGTGAAATTCGAGACTCGAATTTCACCCCTTCAAAATGTTACTCAAACATTCGCAAGTGTACCACAGTTCGAGGTTACTTGTGCGACTCAATGTTGATTGCATGCTATAAATCTGTTTGCTTTTGTATTACATGCATCATACTAAAAACCAGAGTTCTTTGTACAAGGTACATTCGAACACAAATTCCAGAGAGCTTCTATACTTGCATTCAAGAGCACCACCCAACACGTGAACGCCTATATCCCGGCGGGTACTTAATCGATCGACGTGTGTGACCGCTCGTTGGAAAGCTAAGGCAGAGCTCTATCGTTTAGAACATTTCCCAGTTCCTGCAAACTAGAGGAGAGTCCTCTACATCAGTGGTATCAGAGCTGGTTGGAGGAGTCTACGCGCGCGACAAGGAGCAAGCATGATGACTTCAAGCGAGGCCTCCCACACTTCCTTGGATGGTGTCGTTGTAAATTCCGGCGAACCCTGGGCAACCGCGATGATGTTCGACATGTCGGCGGTACCGATTTTCACGGGACAAAACTACTCCTCGGGGAAGTTTAAGTTCCAAGTGCTCATGATGGAGCGGGGACTTTGGGGTTTCTTCGATGGAATGGAGAAGAAGCCGGACGACGAGAGCGGCATCGCGGCATGGAAGAAGAAGGACCAAAAGGCGTTCGCTACGTTGATTTCGCGCATCGGCATCAATCTCGTGAGCGCGGTGCGCATGTGCATCAAGCTCGAAGCGTCGGCGCATGAAGCGTGGAAGCGGCTCGAGACCATCCACGTGAACAAGACTCTCCACGGCAAGATCCTAGCCCGGAATGCGTTCTACACGGTGAAGATGCGCGCGGACAAATCGATGCACGAGTATGCGACTCGTGTGGAGGAACTCGGGGAAACGTTCATGGACCTCGGTGGAACGGTCACGTAGGAGGATTGGATTTTGACCTTGCTTTGCGGTCTTCCGGAAGAGTGGTCGACGGTGATTACGACACTCGATAGTGTGCAAGACACTTTGACGAAGGAAATGGTGGTTGGTCGGCTTCTCCATGAAGAATCGCGTCGCCGACAATTCGCGAATGAGAGCAGCGGGACCGCCATGTACTCCGGAGGGATTTCCAAAAAGAAGTCCAAGTGGAGCAAGGGTGCGACGAATGAATCGTCCGGTGGGAGCGAGCATCGCGGCAAGTGTCACTATTGCCGCAAACTGGGACACTATTGGCGTGAGTGTCGGAAGCGCCCTAGCTATTGGACTCCATCGAAGGCGCTGGACGAAGAGCGCAACGCGCACACGGCATCCGGTGAGGCCGATGATTCAAAGGAGTCGCTCGTGTTAGTGGCCGGCAACGGGAACAAAACTCCAAGCGACGCGTGGTTCCTCGCTACCGGCGCAACGCAACACATGACGCACTCGGCGTCGCTCCTCAACAACATTGGCGCTCCGGGAGACATCACAAGCATCGTGTTCAGAAACAACGAATCGCTACCGGTGGTTGGAGTTGGGAGTATGCGCCTCATCGTCGATAGCGGACCGGTGGACGTCACGAACGTGCTTCACGTCCCGGGGGTGAAGGTGAACCTTCTATCCGTCCCGCAACTTGCAAAGAAGGGCGTGATCGCCACCATCGACGGCGCGAAGATGAACCTCTTTTGGAAGGGGGAGCAATTCGCGCAAGGTGTTCTCAACGGAGATATCTACCAACTCAAGACGTACCCGAGAGCGGCTTCATCCAACGTGGCGCAAGGCTCCAAGGCGACTCTTAAGACGTGGCATAATCGGCTTGCGCACGCCAACTACGAGTTGGTCAAGGAGTTGGCCAACAAAGGACTTGCGAAGGGAGTCGACGTGATCACCGCCGACGACGAGAAGAGCGTGTGCGCGGCGTGTGTCTAAGGAAAAATGGCTCGGAAGCCATTTGGTAGCCGTACCTCTCCCCTCGCTAAGGACCCGCTTGCGCTTGTTCACATGGACGTGTGTGGACCAATGCGGTGCGCATCAAAGGGAGGAGCGCGGTTCCTCTTGGTGATGCTCGACGACGCGACGCGGATGTGTTGGACCCGACTCTTGAAGGCTAAGGGCGACGCGGCCAAGGCAATACAAGAGTGGGCGTTTGAAGTTTGCGACGACGACAAGAAGCGGATCAAGTGTATTCGTACCGAGGGTGGCGGCGAATTCGTGAACAACGATCTTGAAAAGTGGATGAAGAGCAAGGACATTAAGCACGACATCACGACACCCTACACACACCAACAAAATGGAGCGGCGGAGCGGCTTAATCAAACGTTGGTGGAGGCCGTTCGTTCACTTCTTCAACACTCCAAGCTTGGGAACGAGTGGTGGGGAGAGGCGAGTGCGCTAGCGGCATGGATTCGTAATCGTTTGCCGACCAAGGTGCTACTGGGAACGACTCCGTTTGAAGCATGGACCGGAACGAAGCCGAACCTTTCCCTCCTACGCACCTTTGGGTGCCTTTGCTACTACCATGTACCGGACCCACTTCGCCACAAGTTGCAACCGAAGGCTCGTGCGGCGATCTTCTTGGGAATTGCGGCAAACGAGCGTGTATACCGAGTGTGGGATAATGTGTCGTCATGTCTCGGGATGTGGTCTTCGGTGAAGACAAGTTCCCGGCGAAGGAAAAACCAACTCAACAAGTCACCTTCATCCTTCCGGCATGAGAGGAGGTTGAAGAAAGTGAGGTTCTACCTCAAGTGGAGAAGGAAACCGATAGAGGGGGAGAGAACAACGAGGAGAGCGTTGATGATGTTGTGGAGGTGTCACCAACCGAGGCGACAACTACCTCCACACCTTCCTCCCTACCATTCGCCTTGACACGCGAGCGTCGTGAGGTTCGTCCTCCCTCCAAGTACAACGACTACGCTACGGTAGCCGTTGGGGAGACGGATAAGGAGGGCGCGGCATTCTGCTTCGCGACCAAGGGTGATGATGAACACGCGGAATCTCTCATGGAACCACCCCCTAAAGATCCATCCCGTACATGCTATGAGCATGTTGGATTGCACACCTAGTGGGTTGGGTGCAAGGGGGAGTGTTTGAGGTGGCGTGTGGTTGAAGCAATTGGTGGTGGGGTGGTTGTATGCCTCCAACCCACCGAATGTGTTGCTTCTACTTGACTTCACTGCAGGTTTCGTGAAGTTGCAGATTGACTTCGCGAGACTTGCATTTCGGTGCCACATGGCAGCACAAGAAGAATCGAGACTCAGGGAGAATTTGATTCGGTGAAATTTGAGACTCGAATTTCACCCCTTCGAAATGTTACTCGAACATTCGCGAGTGTACCGCGGTTCGAGGTTACTTGTGCGACTCAATGTTGATTGCATGCTATAAATCTGTTTGCTTTTGTAGTATTGCATGCATCATACTGAAAACCAGAGTTTTTTGTACAAGGTACATTCGAACACAAATTCCAGAGAGCTTCTATGCTTGCATTCAAGAGCACCACCCAACACGTGAACGCCTATATCTCGGCGGGTACTTAGGCGATCGACGTGTGTGACGGCTCGTTGGAAAGCTAAGGCAGAGCTCTACCGTTTAGAACATTTCCCAGTTCCTGACAACTAGAGAAGAGTTCTCTACATCAAGCTCCAGCATGGTGACAGCATTTATATGTGCGAAGGTCCTGGGCACCATCGGCTGAGAGGAAAATCACAGAATATGAATGTTCTGCGCAGCGTTCCTACCGACGCCGAATGCGGAGGGCACATGTGTTGTGATTCTGGTTGGCGAATGATGTGATGGGTGCAGGGAAGAGACCAGCAGCAGTTGGCGTGGTGAGCCTCGGTTAGCAGCGGTATTGCCTGGTAATGGCGATAATTGGTTTTCCAGGGTGCCTGTCTACTTGCATGATTTCGAGGTGCAGTTGGAAACCGCACATCTCAACTGGCTCGGTAGACGACAGGCCCTCAGATTCACTTTTAGGGACGTTGATGCATCAGGGTCCCTGTGAAAAAAGGCCTGAATTTTCAGGGTTCCTAAAAAAAAAGGCCTGAATTTTCAGGGTTCCGGAAAACAAAAGCCTGAATTTTCAATCACATCATGCAATTGTGCAAGAGAGTAGCCTATACGAGCACGGTAGTAGAGAAATTTGAACCGGAAACCTTACCAATCGGTATCTACTTCGCTAACCACTAAGCCAGTTCATCGAGTCAGCCTTTTTTTTTTAAGAGATTTTATTATGCGGAAATGTTGGTTGACTTATTGTCTCGGGTGTTTTACGGGAAGGATTCGGAATGTGCATTCAGTGTACACTTCGATATAAGTCTGAAACATTAGTGTTAGCTATGAAGTAAAGGCTGAAAAAATCAGTGTCACAAAAATCTCAACACTGAAAATTCAGTGTAGGTACACAAAACTAGGCTGAAAATCAGGAATTCCAGGAAAAAATTCCTGATATCGTAGGGCCTGGTAGACGATGTCCCAATAAATAAACTTTAGGTATCCCAAACTGGCACATGGTTAATTTCTTGATTTCACCCTTCTCAACTCGTATGTTGTTTGTACTTTAAGATTGTACGGTACTCCATCAACTTCATGTGCATGGCTGTGTTAATAAAAGCCGAAGTACAACCACCTTTCAAACAAGCTGCAAAAGTAACCTTACCTACTAACACCTAGATTCAATCGAACACACACCGCTCAAACTTGACTGTACACAAGCTGCCTACTGTGGCAGCAGAGACCATTTCGCCAATGCATTGCCATAGCAGCATGTATGGTATCAGCACATTCCACTCTAAAACTCAAGCCATGAGCACCTATTTCTAGTGTAAACATTCAATAGCCTTGCCCTCTATCAGCTCCCTGCATCACCTCTCTCCATCTCTCTGCTTCACCCGCCGTTCCCTCATCTTCCCCACCACCCACTACGGTACCGCCCCTCTCTCATGCTCCCCCCTCCTCCCCTCTTTCGCTGACTCATACATCCCCCGTCGTTGCCTTGCCACCGTTCTATCCGCCCGGTGCGCCCGCACATAGAGCTCACGCGCAGCTGCTGCGTTCCCCAGCTCCTCCTCCACCTCTGCTGCTAGCTGCAGCGCCGCAGCGTTGCCCGGCTGGGCTGTTAGGGCTAGTGATAGGAGCGAGCGGGCCTTGAGTAGATTTCCTTGCTGCCGCTCGAAGCATGCATATGCCTGAGAGAGAAGAGGGTGAGGAGGGAGCGAGGGGATTGGGGGGGGAGGGGCGCATGTGTGTTGTGAGGGGGTGAGGGGACGATTTATACAATTAGAGGGAGATGGAGCATGGAACAACTCCATGCCACAAGACACTCACATACCCTCAGTAGACACTCGCGCGACTATGCAACAAGACAGGCCCTGCGGATTTTTGGGACGTCTCAAAAACACACTCGCGCAACTATGCAACAAGACACGCCCTGCGGATTCCTGCTCTTACATGAGGAGGTGAGAGTGGAGGGAGCAAACCTGGAGAGTAGGCACTGAGCTCGTAGCAGCCTCAAGGCAGCGGTCAAACAGCCGCCTTGCCGCCTCAACATCCCCTGCTGCATGCTCCATCACACCCCACGCCTGCAGCGCTCGCACACACCCAGGCTGCACCTCCGAACATCTCTGAAACAGCCTCCTGGCTGCCTCCCTGCTCTCAGGTGTGGCTAATCAGGCCTCCTGGCACGCCCACGCGTGCAGAGTGGGAATGGACTTGGGGTTGGCTGATAGTGCGAAGCTGAAGAGGGTTCGCATGCGGTTCACCCGGCCAGCCTTTGCTTCGAGGAGGGCCCATGCCTGCGGTGGGATGAGGGATAGGAGAGAGTGCATGGGCGGGGTGAGCAGGTGGTGGGTTGTTGCACGCAGATCCATGTGAGGTAACTGAGATGCCACATATTGAACTGCGGGCATAGGGAGAGCTTGAGAGCAGCGAGAACAAAAAATCAACGCGGAAAAGAAAGGGAGCAGAGAGCAGCAGCAAGCGTATGAAATATTGCGCGAACAGTGATACAGTGAGTGAACCCACCTGCCAGGACGCAGCGTCAAGAGGGGCAGCAACAGTGGCCTTCTTGAAATAACACCGGGCAGCACCCAGGTTCTTCACAGAAGCTTCTAGGAGAGCGCGTGACTGCAGAACCACCGGGCTGCCCGGCTGAATCTTCTCTGCCTGCTCCAGCAGGTTACGGGCAGCCTGAAAGTTTCCTTCACGTTTCTCTACCATGGCCCAGGCGTGAAGGCCACACACAAGGCTTCAAGTATCCTTCAGAGATTGCCCCGACAGTTTTGTTCTGCCCTGCTGCTCCTGCTGCTAGTGGTAGCCTGGTTCTCCCCGCGTCAGTATCACCATTGAACGTTGAAACAGCTGTCTGCTGGTAACCATGTCGCCCTCCTCCGCCTCCATCCCCGCCCACGCCTGCAGGCACCGCCCCAGGTGATTCCTCGGGTGAAACTGGTCCCCCAGGTGTCCAGCCTCCTCTGCAGCGCCTTCACTCATTCGCTCCAGAGGCCGCGCATCTGCTAACTCCCTTGCGTGTGAATGCCTTGCATGGGTGAAGCGGCTGACAGGAATGTCCCATGAGTCCAAGAGACTGCCAACCGCCAGAGTCTCCTGATAGCCCTGGGCGCTACTGCGGTACCACGCCCTGGCGGCTGCTGTGTTGCCTGCCTTCCTCTTTGCTAGCGCCATGTGCTCCTGGACTTGGGGGTTCGTAGGTTGCTGGGATAGCAGCTGTGGGAGACAGGGAAGACGCGGGGAGACAGGGTGACGAGGGAAGCAGGGAGAGTGTGATCAAGGGCGAGAAAAGGGAGTTGCTTGCCTGCCTTCCTGCAGGATAAGGGAAACAAAAAGTAAGGCAGGAAATGACTCACGGCAACATGCCAACAACAGCTTCAATCCTCTGCCTTACAACAACTCCTCACCGACTCCCTTCCTCTTCCTCTCTCCCCTCCGCCTTACACCCTGACCCCGGGCCAGCTGCTAGCCACTCACCTTGTCTAGCATGGCTCTGGCTCTCATTATTCCGATCCGCGCTCCCCCACTCAGGTGCCGCCTCACGGCCTTCAGCGCCCCTGCCACCTCCGCTCCGCCGCACCGCTCCCCCTCCCTCTCCCCCTGCGTCTCCGCAGCGTGCGCCTCCTCCGCACCCCTTCCTACTTCCTTAGCCCACAGTTGATGGTCCGGAACTTCTGTGGTTTCTATCGCCGCTCGCCTGATTGCCGACGGCGGACGTGCTAAGCTCAGTCTCACTGTACGCTCGTAGGACACTCCCCGCCAATTCTCGCCCGCTTTCTCCACTTCCCTCCCCCCTTCCGCCTCTTGAACTGCGCCGGCTGTTCGCGACGGCGCGAATTTGGGCAGCGGGGTGCGCGGAGCGGCGGAAACAGGGCGCAGGAGCGGAAGCGGGGCGCAAGTTGGAAGCCAGCAATGGGGACAGGGAGAAGGGAGGGGAGAGCGGAGAGGAGGAGGAGGAGGAGGAGGAGGAGGAGGAGGAGGAGGAGGAGGAGGAGGAGGAGGAGGAGGAGGAGGAGGAGGAGGAGGAAGGGGAGGTGGGTGTGGAGGGCGCAGAGAAGAAAACATCGTCTGCTTCAGTCACATCAGCCTTTGTCACATCAATCGTCCCTTCGTTATAGTCATTAACTAGCGCGTCGCCCCCCTGCTGGCGCTGCTGCTGCAACTTCTGCCTTTCCCTTCTCACCCTCACTGCCGCTTCGGATAAGGCTTTAGGGGACGGATGCCTGCCACGTGGCGCCCCAGGAGAGCGTGAAAGCTCGGGATTCATGACAGGCAGCAGATTTGATCTTCCGCTGCTGACCACGAACAGCGTAGATTCTTCAATCTGCGACACATCTGACGGCAGACGGACGCTGGATGCGGCGTTTCGAGGGGCATCAACAGAGTCAACGGCGTCGACGCGGTCAACGGGGTCAATGGCGAGAGGAGCTCGAGGTTTCGAGCAGCGCTTTCGCAGGTACTGCCGCTTGCGACCCGACGGCAACAGCAGAATCCACTCGCCCTCCTCGTTCATCCCCGCGAATCCCTCCACCTCGCCGCGCAGGATTTGCGCGTCCGTTGAATACGCCTCGGGAATGCCGCGACTCGATAACGAGTCCTCGAGCGCCGCGGCAGCGGCAGCTGTGGTAGAAGCAATGGCAGAAGCGGAGGTAGCGGCGGCGGCAGGGGAACGTGCAGCAGCGGCGGCTTGTCGTCGGGACGTGTCAAGGAGGGACGGAGCCGCATCTGTTGCCGCGATCCGGGATGCCTTGCTGCCGGGCCGCGCCGCGTCCGGTTGGTTTATGAAGGCGCGAATCGAGGGCAGCAAACGCTTCGAGAGAGGTCGCGTGACGGATGTGCGGCTAAGATTGGCTCTCGATACTGTCACTCGCGCGATTCCTGCGAGGGACGAGTGGCGGAAGCTGACGATAGCGTGATGACGGCGAGGGGTATGCGCGGCGAGAGGCGGGCCTGCAAACGGGGATCATAAGGGGGGTATAAGTTCAGCCTTGAATAAGGCTACTTATGAGGAAGCTATTTTTAACGAAACAAAGCGCTTGGGTGTTCTTATGTGAATCCGCGAGTCAACATACGATGATACGACGAAACAGCGATATAAGGCCGCGGAAAGGCAGCCGGAGAAGAGAATAGAATGAGAATCGCAGCAGGAAAATTCGCACCAGAAAATGATGGTAGATGCTGGCGAGAGGTGGACTGAGTTCTCATGCTTGCACAGCTCACATCGGCCGTGTTCTTCGTGCTACATCAAGGAGACACATCTGGCAGACCTGGCTCATAAGTCGGTGGTGCGGATGGTGGAGCTGCAGAGACGGGTGGTGGAGGCAATTCAGTTGGCTGACGACAGCAAGGCGGCGGTAATAAACAAAAAACGATGGTCCACACACCCTGTGCAAGTGAGGGGTTGCAGTGCCGGTATGCTCCCTCATTCAGGAATTGAGCACAGCGCCTGGTGACGCAGCGTCCGTTCGTGTGCGTGCCGTTGTTGCGTGTAGCAATGCTATTTGGAGAGGTGGAACTTTGCAGCGACCACGCGGGGAAACGTGTTCCTCGCATGCGCGGCGGACCTTCTCCACGTCCTGGACGGCGGAATGCTGCCACGCATGGGCAGATGCTTCATGGTTGGGAAGAGCAAGCCGGAGAGGCGTGAGTTCGACGGACTCTCACTGTTCGATCTCACCTCTGGTGTCTCTCCTGCCCCGCCTGCTGCTGCTGACAGCACTGTTCGCTCACAGTGAGCCACGCGCGATGCTGCGGTACGTCTTGCTGTGCGTCGCCACTTACCGACCACTGAGCGTGCGCACTTTAGCCAGTACAAGAGTGCTAAGACCTTGTACGACGCTGTAGTTGCACGCTACTCCTCCCCTGCCACTACTGCGCTTAGCCGCCTCATGCTGCCGTACCTGTTCCATGACCTTGCTCCCTTTCCCACAGTCGCTGACCTCATTACGCACCTTCGCACTAGTGACACTTGCTACCGCGCTGCGCTTCCCGATGAGTTGTGCCAAGAACCCCCCCCCCCCATGTACATCACCCTCTACAACATAGTCACCCGGCTCCCTGACTCCCTTCGCTTAGTCAGGGACCACTTCCTCTCAGTTTGCCCCACCAAACTCACCGTTGACCTCCTCGAGGAGCGCCTCCTAGCAGCAGAGAAGAGCATAGTTGCTGTAAGAGCCTCTCGTGGTGACCATTGCACCCCTGTCTATGAGGGGTGTTCTCCCCCCCCCCTCTTGCCCTCTGATGCCTCTGCTGCTGCGGCCGATCTCGTTGGTTTTGAGTCGGTCGGCGCTGCGTCTGTCCCTAGCGGGAAGCACCGCACCGGCAAGGGCGCTGAGGGGGGCAGTGGGGGCGGTGGAGGTGGTGGTGGAGGCAGTGGAGGGGGTGGGGGTGGTGGTGAGAGTGGTGGCGGGGGTGGAGGTGTCGGTGGCAGCAGTGGAGGCGGAGGAGGCGGCGGGGGTGGCGGAGGGAGCGGAGGCGGCGGCGGTGGCGGAGGCGGCGGAGGCGGCGAAGGTGGCGGTGGAGCTGGTCGCGGCTCTTCCCAGGGGAGTGGCTCCGGTGGTGGTCCGCGCCAGCAGCAGCAGCGCGGTCGTGAGACCCTATCCCCTCAGCAACTTCGTGAGTGGTACTCTGTGCGTCAGTAGGGTGGGGGTGCTAGTCCGTGCACATACGTCCTCCGTACAAGCGACCGCGCTGGTGAGCAGTGCGGGGGAACGCACTCCTCCCAGCGTTGCTTCGGCCGCCTGACGGACGCCTGGCGTCATCAGTTCCCTGACACCACTGAGATCTCTCGCTGGGGAGAGCTGTCTAGGGCTGGGGTAGCTATCTTTGATCTTGACTATGATGCTATTCTTGTCTTTTGGGGGTCTTGTCCTTGCTAGCTTCTCCACTGTCTTACCGTGTCCGGCAGCCCTCTCTGGCACTTTATCAGGTCTCTACCTCCCCTCGTTCTCTACGAACTTGGTGAATGGAGCTGATCTGCAGGATCAGACGGTTCACCAGTTCACACCTGCGAGTCAGCGGGTGACCCACTGTACGTGTGCTCGGACGGGCCGACACTTGGCCCAATTCACCTGTCAGCCGGGGTCGAGCCTGTACACACTGACCACTGAGTCTCCTCCTGTTACTGCGTCTGGTCAGGTAGTTGAGTCGAGTCAGGTGTTTGCTGCAGCGTCCAGGTCTGATCCTGAGTCTGCGCCCTACTCGTGTCGTCTCCTGTCCCACCAGACTCTCCTTTAGCACCACCGCCTTGGTCACCCTTCCCTGCCTCGTCTCCGAGGCATGGCCTCCCGTGTCCTTGTCTCTGGTCTACCCCGGTCTCTCCCTCCCCTACCTCCCGGGCCTGCCCCTACCTGCGTCCCCTGCGTTGAGGGGCGGCAGCCCGCTGCTCCTCAATCCTCCGAGTTTCCTCCGACAGAGGCTCCCCTGCAGACTCTTCACATGGACGTGTGGGGCCCCGCCCGCGTCCGTGGCCGGGGTCACGAGCATTATTTCCTATTGGTGGTTGACGACTACTCGCGTTACACCACAGTGTTCCCCTTGCGCAGCAAGGGTGATGTCATTGAGGTGTTGATCGACTGGATCCGCGCAGCTCGTCTACAGCTCTAAGAGAGTTTCGGCTCGGACTTTCCTGTTCTGCGTCTGCATTCTGATAGAGGCGGAGAGTTTTCCTCTGCCCGTCTGGGAGCCTTCTCTCGTACACAGGGCATCCGCCAGACCTTCACGCTTCCGGCCTCTCCACAGCAAAATGATATTGTTGAGCGCCACATTGGCATGGTCATGGACGTCGCACGTATGTCCATGATCCATGCGGCTGCTCCCCATTTTCTATGGCCGTTTGCGGTTCAGTACGCGGCGCATCAGCTCAACCTTCAGCCTCGGGTCTCCTTGCCAGAGACCTCCCCCACCTTGCGGTGGGCCGGGAAGGTTGGCGATGCGTCTGCGTTTCGGGTCTGGGGATCTCGGGCGTTTGTACGCGACTTGTCTGCGTACAAGCTGTCCCCCCGTGCTGTTCCCTGCGTCTTCCTTGGCTTCCCCCCTGACGCGCCTGGTTGGCGGTTCTACCACCCTACCTCGCGCCGTGTTTTGTCCTCCCAGGATGTCACCTTTGATGAGTCGGTGCCTTTCTACCGTCTCTTCCCCTACCGCACTGCGCCCCTCCCCCCGCCGCCGCTCTTTCTTGCACCAGGTCCTCCCCCGGTAGACCCCCTCCCCCCTCAGGGTCCTGCCCCGTCAGGCGTGTCCCAGGTAGACGTAGTCGAGCCTGTCGAGGTAGCTGTTTACTCTGGTACTGCTAGGGGCGCTGTGCCTGCGAGTGCTGGGTCTGGGGGTGCGGAGCGTGGGGGTGCTGAGCCTGGGGGTGCTGAGACTGGGGGTGCGGAGCTTGGGGGTGCGGAGCCTGGGGGTGCTGAGCCTGGGGGTGCGGAGCCTGGGGGTGCTGAGCCTGGGGGTTCTGAGCTTGGGGGTGCTGGGTCTGCTCGTGTGGCCTCTTGTGGTGCTTCGTCGAGGCGGGAGCTACTCTCTCCGCAGGAGCTGCGCAAGTGGTTTGCCCGGCGCTGGAGCCGTGCTGCTGGAGCTGGAGGTACTACTGTTGCTGCTGGTCCTGGAGGTGCTCGTCCTGGCGGTTCTGGAGCTGCTGAGACTGGGCGTCCTGCTGGAGGTGCTCCTGGACTATGTTGGAAAAGTCGCGCCCAGCGCATTATACGCAAGCGTTTATGCGCTTCGTGAGTGACTTTGAAAGTCGCAGAAAGTACGCTGCCCGGGCAGCAAAAGGTTTTTACCGGGCAGACGAAAAAAACTGCCAAAGGAGGTGGGGGGGAGTGGTGGTTTTACCGAATTTCATACATGCCAAAAACCTTACATTCTCAACTACTCTAAGCAAGCAACATGCATCTCTCCTACCCCACCCCCTACTCCCACCCTCTACTCCCCCCGTCCCTTCCTTCCTCCTCTACTTGTACTCATCCTCCAGCTCATCCTCCTCCCCCTCCTCCTCATCCTCCTCCAAAACCTTGTTGTACCCTTCCGGCAGGGAGGCCTCAGGGATGTTCCCCGGGAGAACCGTCACCCCCTCAGCCCCCTTGTGCCAGTTGCGCACAATGTTCCAATTGTGCGCAACATACACGAGGTCCCGACACTTCTCGGACCCCAACCTGTTGCGCTTGGCAGTGTGGATCGATTCCCACACTGCCCAGTTCCTCTCACACGCCGATGCGGACACTGGCTGAGAGAGAACGCGGCAAGCGAGCGTTGTTAGCTCGGGGTGCTCCGTCCCGTGCCACGTCCACCACTGGACGGCCGTCTTCTTACCGGCCTTCACGAGCTCACGGTCAGAGATGGCGTCGGGTAGGCCGAAGCTCCCCAGAAGGGTGTTGAATGCCGTCAGGCCGTCCTGGATGACGTGGGATGCGCGCAGCTCCTCGCCCTCCTTGCGCGTGACGGTCCGCCCTGCGTAGTGACGAGCGACAAACGCTTTGAAGACGCGAGTACACTCCAGGTCGGTGCGGAAGATGCCTTCCTCTTGGTTGACCGGGTTGAGGATCCGGCCAACCACGTGCATGGCACACGCCATGCTATGGTCCCAGCGCTTTTGGACGATGTTGGTCACCTCCGTGCGTTCGCTGCTGGACAGCACCAATCCCGCCTCCTCCTCCTCCAGCTTTGCATTGATGTCTTCCGTGAGCTGCAGCATCAAATCGTACATTCTGCCCATCATGCCCTTGGCCGTCGAGTCAGTCTTTCGCATGACGGCAAAGGGGATCTTCAGGAGAGCGACGAAGAACTCCGCACCTTTCCACCACACGGCATCCATGATCATGGTTGCGAAGGGCTCGACCGGCGGCTTCCTCCCCTTCGCCCAAGCCTGCCACTCTGGGCTGAGCACCATCTGCGTCAATGCACTCCGCACCTCGCAAAGCCGCTGCACCGCGATGAATTGCGTGCCAAATCTGGTGCCCGCCGGCTTCAGCACCTGCTTCCCCTTCCCTCCCTTCACCTGCCGGCTTCGCATGTAACCTTTGGTGAAATGGTGGGCACGCACAAAGGTAATAATCACCCCCACCTTAGCCACAATGTCCTTCGCCCAATCCATTTTCCCAATGTCCTCCATGAGCAGATCCATGACGTGAGTAGCGCACGGCACATGTTCAATGTGAGGATACTCAAGCATGAGTTCCCTACATGCAGCCGCATAATTGCTGCCCCCATCCATGCATAACGCAACTATGTTGGCGGGCCCCACCTTCTCAATGATCGGGCGCAAAACGGATGCAATGTAACCTCTCGTCTTCATCTCCAACTTACAGTCGATGCTTTCGGTGAGCACTGCACCGGAATCGTTGATGAGCAGGATGTTGGCTTGGGGACGGCCACTTTTGTCCGTCATCATGTCCGAGCCTATCGTCACGCCATCCCGCTTCCAGCTCGCAGTGATGGGAGCGAGCCCCCTCTCGATCTTTTCGCGGCAGCGCGCAAGGCCGGCGCCACCAACATACCGCCGCTTCGGGGGAACGTAGCCATGGCCCGCGTCCGTGATGCAGCGCACAGCGTTGCGCCAGAGAGGGTGATCGGCGAGATGCTCCGGGAGGTGAAGTGCCGCCCACATGAGGCAGATGGCGTCGTCTGCCGATTCCTTCGCACACGACGCCCCTTCCCCGTAGAAGTCTTCGATGAACTACTTCTTCGCTCCACCCGCACACGCCTCGATCGCCATCTCCTCCGCCTTCTTCTTCCCTTTCCTGCGGGCGTGTTTGCCTTTGTACAATTCGCGGACGGCGCCGCGGTCAGCAGAAGGGATAGGCGCCTTGCAAAGACGGACGTCCTTCCGTGTCAACCCTTTCCAGCGCGTGATGTGTTGCGCGCAATGGAAGGCGCCCCCTACGAACTTAAGCTTGCAGTGCCGGCATATGCGGAGAGTACGCTCAGGACCATTCGAGGTACGTTCGGTACAGGTAAGGAAATGTTTAAAAATAACATGGGTGTTCACAGGAACATCCTCGTCGTCCGCCATGGTCGCGTCATTCCAAACACTAGGAGCCTCACTAGTGGCACTTGCGGGAGTACCAGAAGGAGTCGACATCAAGTGCAGATGAGCGGGAGTGTTGAGAGAGAATGAACGAGGAGAGAGATAATACAGATGACGGGACTGAGAGCTTACCTTATAGTCCTGGATGTGGTTGAGTTGAACCACCTACGCTGGTTGACGACATTCGTGTTTGTGTGTTGGAGTCGCGCGATAGCATAGGGTGCAGTGCGGTTCAAATTTTCCCACGTCCCCACATTTTGACAGGTGTGGGTGACAATGTGGTTGGATTGGGACGTGCGTACAGATTGGGGTGGGACGTGCGTACATTTTGAGTCGCGTCGCACATTCGCAATTCGTGCGCGACTTTTGAAATCTGTTTTTTTTTCGGGTCAGCCCGAACTTTCGCCAACGAATATACGTACGACTTGCGTACACCGTATATTCGTAAACGACTATTCAGAGTGCGCTGATGGTTTCTGGCGACTTTTCCAACATAGCTCCTGGAGCTGGTGCTGCTGGAGCTGCTGGAGCTGGAGCTGCTGGGGGTGTTGGCGCTGGTGGTTCTACTAGCGCTGGTGCTTCTGAGGGTGAAGGAGTTGGCGCTGTTGAAGCTAGAGGTGCTGCTGGCGCTGGTGCTGCCGCTGGGGGTGCTGGTGCTGTCCCTGCTAGTTCTGGAGGCACTGCGCGACCGAGACCGTACTTCGTTCCGCTGCTTAAGCAAGTTCTTGGTCTCCCGCCCTCTACTTGTCCTGCTCCTCCCTTGGCGTGTCTACAACCTGTCCAGTCGCGGTCACAGTTACAGCCTACCTCCCCGCTGCCTGCTCCTTCTCCCTACACTGGTCCTACTAGAGGTCTTGCCGAGCGTCGTGAGCCTGCGTCTCGTCCTGCGTTGCCTGTTCATGCTGCTCGCGCTAGTGGTCGTGCTCCGCGTCCGCGTTCTCTTGCGGTCCCCAGCACACACCAGATGGCACTGCGTCCTTCCACCGCTCCTCTGCGTGTCCCGTTGTCGTCTCCTCCAGAGTCCTCTCTTCCTACTCTTGCTGACCCTGAGTCCGACTCTCTTCGTGCTGCCAGTCCTACTGTCACGCGTCTCCTGGCCAATGTTGTCACTAACCCTTCTTTTGAGTCCACTGCTGCGTCTTCCTTAGTTGCCGAGCTTGGCGACTTTGCTGCTCGCTGTCGTCTAGACTACGCTGCTAGTCTTGTTGCTGAGTCTGTCTGTCCTCCGTCCGTCGGGGGTGAGTGTGCTCTTAGCACGGACGTCCTTGAGGACAGGCAGGAGGAGTTCCAGTGTTTGGCTGCTGCTTTGCATCATCTCGTGTCCTTGCTGATTGCCCCTGAGGGAGACCCAGATGCACCAGACATCCCGACTCCTCGATCGTACGCTGAGGCGATCGAGGGTCCCTACTCCTCTCAGTGGCAGTCAGCCATGGACGCAGAGATGGCTTCCTGGAAGTCCACAGGCACCTACGTCGACGAGGTTCCCCTACATGGGGCAAACATCGTCAGTGGCATGTGGATCTTCAGGGTGAAGCGACCGCCGGGTTCTCCGCCTGTCTTCAAGGCGCGTTACGTGGCTCGAGGCTTCAGTCAGCGGCAGGGAGTTGACTACTTTCAGACCTTCTCTCCCACCACGAAGATGACCACTCTTTGGGTGCTGCTGCACGTAGCCGCTCAGCGCGACTACGAGCTTCACTCTCTTGAATTCAGCACAACTTTCCTGCACGGCAGCTTGCATGAAGAGATCTGGCTGCGCCGCCCACCTAGCTTCACTGGGTCGTTCCCTCCTGGTACCCAGTGGAGCCCCGGCGGTCAGTCTACAGTCTCCGCCAGGCACCCCGTGAGTGGCAAGACACACTGACGACTACACTTGCAGTTCTTGGGTTTGCTCCTTCCGCTGCCAACCCGTCACTATTTCTGCGCACCGACACCTCTCTGCCGCCGTTCTACATCCTCGTGTACGTCGACGACTTGGTCTTTGCTACTGCTGACACTGCTGAACTCGCTTACGTGAATTTCGAGCTGCAGAAGAGACACACGTGCACAGACCTGGGTGAACTGCGCAGCTACCTTGGCTTGCAAATCACCCGGGACAGAGCACGCCGCACCATTACCCTGACTCAGTCACACATGGTGCAGCAGGTCCTTCAGCGCTTCGACTTCACGTACTCCTCGCCTCAGGCCACTCCTCTGTCTACTCGCCACTCGCTCTCAGCTCTGCCTTCGGAAGAGTCTGTAGAGCCGAGTGGCCCGTACCCAGAGCTTGTTGGCTGTCTCATGTACCTTATGACCTACACACGACCTGACCTAGCATACATTGTTAGCATCTTAACACGCTATGTGGCTCCTGGGAGACACCGACCAGAGCACATGGCTGCAGCGAAGAGGGTGTTGCGCTACTTGTGCAGCACGTCGGGCATGGGCTGAGGGCACGTGCCCGATGACGACATGCTTGCAGCTGACTCCTGGCCGTGTGAGAACAAGATATCTGGTGGTGGAAGTGGAGTGCATCCAAAGGGTGGTGCACGTGTGCAAGTCTTATGTGGACAGGCGCGTCTTGCTCCTGAACAGGTTCCTGCTGACAAAGTGAGGGGGGTGGGTTATTATTGCTGTGACATGTGGGTCCTCTGTGGTCATGTGCACTGATCTTGACGCAATTGACGCTAATTCAGGTGACACTTGGAACCAGTACATGGTCATAGATTTCAATATGTGCCAATCTTTTGCTTGTTGGTGCAGCACAAATAACATATGCATTAGTGTATTTCGGGTGTTTACGTGGGCTTCGTGATGCAACAGTAAAGGTGTTAAGGGAGGGCATATAGTGTAGAGCGCTTATGATGGCACTGCATGCGCAGTGTACAGGGACGCGCGAACGCCAAATGTGCGATGCGGGGCGATGTGCGGCTCGCGATACAAAATGTGCGGCTCGATTTTCCCGGGCCGTTTTAAGCCGAAGGGATTGGGTCGTGTTGTGACTTTTGCGTCACGTTTTGGGATGTTTTGTGCACTGGCTGGGACTTTTTGTATGCTTTTCCGTAGAAAAACCCACGCACCTGAAAATTAAGCACCTTCCTTTTCCGCGATGTTTGTACTGGAGTGGACATCATGTTCGAGTGACATACCAGATTGCATGGCATGTGAGAGTGACAAACCAGATTGCATGGCATGTGAGAGTGACGAACCAGATTGCATGGCATGTGAGAGTGACAAACCAGATTGCATGGCATGTGAGAGTGTCAAACCTGAACAAAGCAAGAAAAACGATGCACGTGACAGGCCGTCCACCATATGTCTGTGACGTACCCACGGGGTGAGTCACTCACAAGACCACAGTCCTGACGCTGCCGATGAAGACTTTGAAGGCACCTCATCAAACCAGAGCAGGAATTGTCTGTCCGCGTTGCCACAACACTGCATGGCGTGCCTGGTGATTACAGGCACCGCGCAGTGGGGCAGCAGGCAGGATAGGGAATTGGAGGAAACATGGGAAATGAATCTTCAGGCGTAGTCTCATTGCTGCTGGAAAATGGAAGATGTCGCCTCACAATTCTGCATTGCACGGCATGAAGTGAATCCGCATGGAAAGGCACAAACATTCAGAGAGAAAGAGCCGTCTCGAAAGACGAATAGTAGAACGCACAGAAGGGAAACGAGATTGGACCAAATCTTTCATTTTGCGTTTGGATCGTCCGTACTAGTGGATACTACTATCAGTACTAGACCATACTCGACCTTAGTGGTAGACTGTATGAGTCTCATGATCGTACCACCAGACGTCGTCTTCTCTCCCGGAGAGACTGGGCCGCCTCTCTGCAGCTTGCGGTGGCGCTGCTCGCGGGCTTCGCTGGGCTTGGCGATGTTACGGCGAGTCGCCGCGTTCTCTGCTGTGACGACGCCTGTCGCCGCGCTCGTCGCTGGTAGGGTAAGGGCAGGTTAGGGGAGTGAAAGGAGTGAGGGGCAGAGTGAATGTTAAGCGGACGAGATCTGGGCCGACTCCTAGTGGGCAAGAATGAACTAGCTGCTCTTGAGCTGCAACAGCCTTGTAAGTGGAACAAACGAGCGCAGTTGAAGTTGCTCTAATTTATGTGGCTGCAGCGGAGGCGAGATTGCGGAGAGAGAGTAAAGACCAGACATACGCGTTGCACCAGGGATTCAACGGCAGGGCCTCAGCTTAGATCTCGCGATGGTAACATACGGGCCGTACCTTGGGTGAAAGAGAGCGCCAAGGTGGCAGCGAGGAAGAGCGCGAGGCCGACGGAGAGAATGGAGCGAGCCATGGCGTTGTATTGTAATTGAGTACCGGTAGTTGGAGAGACTTGAGAACTGAGCGTTACAATCGGATTTGAGACTGATGGTTCGAGCGTGTTTAGTGGCGGGATTTATAGGCGGGATGAGTCTGCTAGCGTGGCCCAAGAAAACGAGTCCGCGAGACTAAGGTGGTGTCAATCGCGACCTACCGCCATGCAATGCGCAAAAGCACTCGCCGAAAACGACTCTGGGTTCGGTTGCTGAAGCAGGGCTCAGGATAGAAGGGCGTTTTACCCTGTTTGCCTGCTTTTCAGACTGAGTTTACTCCA